CGACAAGCTTGCCTTATATGAAACTCTTGCTTCCCTCTTGCCGACTTCAAAATATAGTTGCGTACATTTTTCAAACAGTTGGTTGGCTGTACACTGCCTGCCGGTTTCGGAGGCCTATCTTTCGTCATTTTTTGGGAAAGGAAGCGAAATTGCTCCAATTTTTTATTGCCTCCGGCGGGGCCGCCTCTCCACCCGGGGGGGGGGACGCTCGGGTTCGCACAGCGACCTTCCGCGCCTTCAAACGTGAGCTTATTGCTGTGCTCGCCGGCTTGCTGCGCTCGTCATTTCGGCTCGTTTCGCTTGCAAATATCAATATCGATAATCAATTACTGAATCGATACCCAACACTCTACCGTGAAACACTAAGTGTGTGACGATGAAGACCCATCTTGAGTTTGGCAAATTTCGAAGCCACCGAATGGGCACCCAGCGACCACGCACGAGACGTTATTCAAGACCAGGTGGGTAGTGCTGAGCAAGAAGAAAACCTCTACTACTTGTATGCCAGCATACTAGTTGTCGCGCAAACGAGGAGCGGTTGTGACTTGTCTTTTGTCAATTCCTACATGTACATACATACAATGTCACTCACGTCGTCTACCTCCAAACACCTTCTCCCAAATTCAGACACAACTTTCCACCAAGTCCCAAACAAAAAAGACGACGACGCGTTGAAACAGTTCACCGTGTTGATATTCGGAAACCTTTACGGCAAGGGTAAAATGGGAACACAATCACACACATATTTTACGCATCGTTCGAGAATTGCTTCAAAGACGCGCCCTTTTCATCTCTATCGGTGCCTCTATACGCGGACTCACTCGTGACCTCTCTTCGGAGATTGGGCGGTGAGGTGTGCGGACTCGTGACCTCTTCGGAGATTACGGAAAAAGATGATGCAAGAACAATGCTGCCTGGTAGTTTTGAATGTTCTCCTTGTGTTTCGGAGCAGGACCATGTCAAACCTCTACGCCCTCCCTGTCTGTAGAAGAAGCCTTCGATAATGAGGAGTGTTCAAGTTAGGCATCCTCCTGAACAGGCAACGGGAACGGCACAAACACGCACACACATGCACCGGTTGTTACAACCTCGCCCGCCCCCTTGGGAGACGGTAGGTTATTATCGTGCTCGAATAGTTCAGTTCCGCAGACAAAAACGAGCCTCGGCCACACAAAGCGTGTCAGGTTTTCAGATGGTATTTGGCCGGTATCAAAGTCCCGCGAGGGCTGAGACTTGGTCTTGAAGGTATCGGTTACCCTTCCAGACATTCTCCCGTTCCGTGGTGGAAGATTCCACACAATGAAACCGTCGCCAACAAACCACCTGCCGCGCTTCTTGACCATGTGCCCGCCAGCTACCTTCTCACCAACGTGGTGAGCACCCCTCGCGCGTTCGCCTTTCGGGCGAAGCTCGTCACGACTTCCGCAAGGAACTTCGTTCACAGGGCCACGTGCGAGTACACCTAGGAGATTTCGCGGTTGGCACGGACTGTACGATGATTACTGCGAACCTCCATGAACGTTCGTAAGAGGTAACACTAGCTTCTACGGAGAGGTTCGACCACGCTGAGTGAAACGTGAGCAGCATCAATGGGACATCACGGAGCATTCCGCCGGAAAGACGGTGCGTAGAACCTCGTGATGTCGATCATTCCGTGGGGCACAGGTTCTCATGCTCTAATAGATGGGCTGCACAAAAGACTACTGAAACCCAGAGTGACGCTACTCAGAGGTGAGCCGCGTTCACCCCCTGTTTAGTGATATACGAAGGACTACGGGTACCGCACCAACCCCAACCCATAAGCCCATCGCCCCCCTGGTGTTGATCGTCCTCACAGACAATGCTATGCCTTGCCTTGCGCTGTGCATGCTACTCGTGCTCGAATCATTGACGCTTTCCGTGTTTGGCAGGTCAAGCCAATGCCCCCCAAAACCAGCCCCGGCCCCCGATTCCTGTCGTCGTGGTGAACTGGGCGTGCTCGAGCAAACCTCCTGCTTTTGCATCTGCCGCCGCCGCTACTGGTGACGCTGTTGCTGCTGCTTCGCTTGGTCCCCAAGAACCAAGAACTGTCTCCCGCGACGTTTCGGCGGTGTTAGGTTCTGATGGAAGTATCCGATGACGGTGGCGATGTTGGTGATACGCACTACTTTGACAGATGTCTTCTCCTGATACCGGTGCAATTGTCTGTGCTGAAGTGGGGGAACGTGTTCCGTGACAACGCGTTTTTTCTCCACAAGGTTATGTCCCTGATTTTATCGGGCATCTCTCTGCAGGCCTTCGTGTTGGGGACACGGTCACCATGGCAATGCTCACCGTGATCAGACAATACCGGTTCATCTTTCCCCGCCCACGTCGAATACTGAGCATCCTGAAGTCGTCGCCCGTCGTCGCTTGGTGCACTGTTAAGCTCCGTCGTGGTGCTTGTACCCGCCTCCAAGTCGGTCCTTGCATTGATCCAATCGCTGGCGTTGGGAACAACTCCCGCCTTCAAGTACGGGGATGATGGAGTTGTTCGTATCTCGTCGTCTTGTCCTTCCTTGGGACTCGCAACAACAGCTCGGACCAGAGTGTTCAGCGTGTCATCGCCTCCTGACCCCAACGCCCGCCCGCGACGGCGATGCCGACGGTCACGTTGCACCTTTCGGGGAGACGAAACACCGCGATCATCAGGTACGCAGCCACTACTGTCCTGCACGTTCTCGATGCTGTGGTCGGCCACTTGGTTGTCGTGAACGACCGTTGCCCTACGGCCGCCGGCATCGAACGGCATATACGCCCGAGGAACGCCCTCGCCCCACACCTCATCCCCACGAGCGCCGGAGATCCAGAAGTCAACCTCCTCTTGGAGATGGCAAGCATACGTCTGGCAACGGAACAGGCAGACATTCGCATGCTAGAAGGGTGAGTGAAGAACCAGAAGAGACCCCCCACGGGGTCATCCACCCGGGAAAAGGATGTCAAACGCGAACTGACGACCATCTAGAGAAGTTCTTGACTGAAAAGAAACGCCTGCGTTCGTACCAGTAGCTGAAAGTGCACAATGGTTCGATTTTCAACGTGCTAGTATCCCTCACACACGCAGTGCACGGCAAGGCTCTGTACCAGCTTCACCTCACGACGCTTTGCAGACGTACCCGAAGGATGTTATGTTCGAGAATTTGTTAAGTCCTGTCCTTTCCAAAGCGGATCCACAGAAGCAACATATGTCTTAACTTTGGAACACCTGAGCGTGAATGACAGCTTGCCCACTACGCGGACGACGAAGAACTACGGCGAGTGCTGCAGACTGCACGATACCCCGATACGCGCTAACAGCAACAAAACTATCCGATGCAATAGACGTCATGAGTGAATGTCAGCGAACCCATCGCATCAACCTACTCGAGACTGGCTGGCCGTTGCGTGCGGGCAATCCCTTGCCTTCACGCGATCTCGAAGGCGCCGCACGCACTTGCCGCCGCTGCTACCTCCGCCAATGTCGCCATCACTGTAGCTGCGGATCGTGTCACAATCTTTGTCTCGGAACAGTTCAAGGGGCACACGGTCATCTGCGTTTGGTTCCCCTCCCTCCCGAATCCACTCTCCTGGCCTTCCAGGTTCACAGAAGGCCGGCTGTGAGGGTATGGCGCCTGTACCACATGCTGACACCAATTTCTTTGGGTTCGTGTGCCCGGGTGGATTGTTTACTGGCCGCAGTCGGGTCGGTTTCGGAAATGTGGCGACATTTGGCGCCTCCGCCGGCAGATACGGCGGGGGCAGGGGACCATGCAGGTGCCGCATAGTCAGCTTCGTCGGGGTTTGATTGACACACAAACCGGCGGTTCTCTGCTGAGTACCGGCCTGCAACGTTTCTTGGCCCCGAAACGATAGTGCCGAATGGTGCTCTACGCGATGTCGGTCGGTGCCCTCCCGACAGCGCCGCGGAAGGCTCTCCTGCATCTTCTGGCCCCTATCCTCACATTCGCGCGCTGAAGATGAGTCGCTAACTACTTCACCGTCTGTAGTGTCCTGCCTACCAGCCCCAAGGTCTCCTTTCTGGTCTCCCCCGTACTCCTGCGCTTGCGTACGTTCCTCTCCCTTGTGCTCTCGTTCCCCGTCCCCCCCCGACGCCTCCTTCAACTGTTCTTTGCCCCGTCCTCCGCTTTGCTGTTGCCATGAATCGGCGACTGCACCGTGGAACCCAATGCCGAGAACAGAAGATGTAGACTTTACCACGGGTCGGCTAGGGTCTTGTCTCCCGCTACCTCTTTCGGCCTGTCCGTTGATCCTCCGGGGTGGACATTCGGGAGAAGCCATGGCGGCGGGAGCAATCCCGGGTTCTTGGCTCCGCCCCTCGTCTTGCGACCCGTGCCATACAACGTCTTCCGTACCATCAAGTACTCCTACACTGGACTCTTCGTTGCAGATATGGTCGGGCGAAAAGGGTTTCTTGAGCATCACGCCGCTCCTTTCCTCTTTCCGCGGTGCCGATTCTCGACGGCGCTGCCCCACCTGACGGATGAAACCCAGGCCGGCAGGACTTCGACCCGTCTCCGCTGAACCTCCCATGGGTTTTTGTGTCTGTTGAGGTGAGCCCGCCCCCACGGAATCTGCGGCCCACCATAGCTCTGCGTCGGTGTCATCGTCTGGCGAACGTGTCCGGCCAGGGGACGGCGGTTGGTGGCGAGCGCGCCCCCGCGGCGTCGCGAGGCTATCGTACGCGGTGCGAACTACGGAAAACAGCGCGCTTGAGTCCGTCCCCGTCTTGTCTACGGCGATGGTGCCGGTGGCGGTGCCGAAGGATAGCAAGGGGGGCATGGATAGAATGTCGTCGCCGGAGACGTACCCAAAAAGCATATCCTGCCCAACATACGCTGGGTACCAAACTACAGTGATCGGTGATCGGTTGATTTCGACTCGTCGAAAGGACGAGTCCCGTGGCTCACGTTGGATCCACACCCTGCTGTCGCGACCGTCTATGATACATCCCATCATTAAGACAAGTTTGCGTCTTCAGTGTGTCAGCAATCTCTACGTAGCGCAGGGTATAGGTCACCCTGCTCATTATCGTGGTGAACAGCTAGGGTCATGAATCCGGGGGGCAAGTGTAGGAGACGCAAACACCACCAACCAGGATGGAACCGCAGTGCCAGCCGCCGGTATTTGCGTTTTACGAGGGCGTCCGATATGCTGGCGCTCCGGCTGGTACGGTCAGCACTAGCACGCCTGGGGAGAGGCAACTGTAACGCCGCGAAATGGTTGCTCTTCAAGAAACGCAGGTGCGATCGGAGTTCTCGGTCCACCTGAAACGCGGCGAGCCACCGTGATAGGAATACTCTTGATGGATTCTGTGTTGCGCAATGCACGGGACACACCGGAAGTCAGCACCAACAAAAGAAATACTGTAGTGACAGCATTCTCTTGGACGCAGATAGTCGTGGAGATAAGGTCAACATACAGGGATGGAAAAACCAAAGGGCTTCATGTCGACCAAAAAGTTGGTGCCACCAGCCTTGGAGGAACACTGTAAACCCTCACCTTAGACAAAAGCTTATCAACGACGCATGTCGCCTTGGTGCTTGCTCTATTCGACGGTGACATAGCCTGGGCCTCCTCCATCCCTTGCGTCGCATGCTGTGTTTGGCCCTTGCCTCCGGGTTCGAATCTTTGTAACTTGCTCTTCTCGTTTTGCAGAAGAACTCTGTGCGGCGACGAGGAGGGAACGGTATCGTTCGGGGGAAAGTCGAGAAACAACAACCAAGAAAGCGTACCGGCAATTATTCGCGCCGACCGCGAGGAACCACCGAAAAAACCCTATCGCTCGATTGTGCTGTTGAAAATCCGAGCAATCGACAAGGCAGACGCTCGTAGGTGGGGAGCAATCCACGACCATTTCGCGTCGCATGCCGCGATCGCTTTGCGAAGAATAGAACGTGGTTTTCGTTCGTACCTCAGTCTTAGGAAACCCAGCGTGGCCTCGTGCAAAAGCCCACCCGCGGAGAGACGGGTTGCTTGTGTCCAGGCCTCCCCAATCGTTCTAGTGTCGTCGCTCGTATGCGATTTCATCGGTTCTGTGTGCCCGGCGCGCTTTCTGGACATGTCGGTCTCTGAGACAAATAGTGAGGATCAAGGGAACCATCGACACGCGCGACAGCAGCAGCAAAAAGAACAGCGGACGCCAGTGTCACGCAGCTGTAGAGGTCAACCGAGAACATAGATGTACGTGATATCGTCACAAACGTCAATGTTTGTGTACATGGTGTTTGCTTCTTCAAAAACTTTCCAGGGAAACATGCATGATTCGACCCGCTGGCGGCAAGACGAGGACCGTCACAAGAGAAGTCTTCGCATACATTCCTCTGCCGTTGTTGGTACTTTTGCGTGGTACGTGAGTCTGACTACAGAGGGGCCCTTCGTCATGAGCGCTGCCAGAAGAATAGTGCCGAAACCCTCAACAATATCGACTACGTCGCTGGGCAAACACAGAACCCCTAGTTGGACCCAACCGGCAGCGACAGTATTGGCTGCAGTCAATCGCGCTTTTTGGGTGTTTCTCTACACCTCAGTAGTGCCGGTTCAGGCGACACACACACACCTTCAAACCCGTGCATGTTTTCCGGAAGCTTGCCAATTTTCGATAGTCTCGTTGTGGTTTCTCCCTGCCTCAGTCATAGCTACCGACAGCGGTTGTGTTTGATTTCTGTCGAGCTACTGTTATTCTGCTGTCCGTCGGCCATCTGTACTTCTCTCTCTACATTTTGAGGAGGGCCAACGGGGCGTGAGTGTGGTAATTTTTTTGACTACCGGTTGGCTGGATGTATTGAGTATTGCAGTAGGTTCTCTCAAAAACATGGTATTCATACAAGTAGGTGCATCGGGTACCGTGTGGTGCGAGTACTCGTGTCATTGAACGGAAGTACTTTCGAGGATGATGGTGAAAAAATCGTTGAATCTGCCGTGAAATATTCTGAACACCCTCGCGAAGGGAACCATTCTCTTCTTCTGCGAACGACACAACATCCCCTCGGCTGGGGTGGGCGGTCGCCTCCGCGCGGATTCCCCAAACACAATCATCATCTGCATGCGTTGTCACCCACCGTTCCCTGCGTCGGACCCAGACGCTGTGTACGTGAAACTATGCAAGAAACAGAGGAGGGGGAGTAATCGACAACTTAGGGGCGCGGAGGGGATCGCAGTACCTCCTCTGAAAAATCAGGAAACGCTTGCATATCTCAGTTTTCCAAAGTCTAACTCCAGTAAGAAACTGCCATCGCAAATTAACCGTCCGCAACGGTCGCCTGTGTACAATGTTAGTTTCTGAGATTATTGCCCTTGTGATACACTGCAGACTAGCGGTCCGTGATTTTCCAAACGATCCTTCTACCGTCGAGATCCGTGAGCGACAAGCAGGATTTTTGAAGCTGCGGTGCGGTTCGATGGTAGTTTCGCACTGGAGTTTAACTTTAGAAAACTGAGATATGCAGGCGTTTCCAGCCGTGTCCTGGATTGTTGAAGATGAGGTAGTGCTGTGATGACAGCAGTAGGAGGGGGCACAACAAAAAAGTAAAAGTCCATCCGTTACGTACGGGTTCTTGCGTGTATTTTTTCCTGCCAAATCATAAAATAGTGGGTGGTAGTAGTCTACAGTGTAGAGAGAATTCACACAGCATACAATACAGCAATAGTAAACATAAACAACAGCAGACCCACGAGGCCGCGTTGGCTAAACAACAAGAAGAGTTCATGTTTTGAAATCTGAAAAAAAAGCACAGAAAAGGTTTTCATGTGCCCGGTCTCTAGGTGTGTACCTTCACAGCACATGACATGCCTCCCACACATAGTCTACATTGGGATAGATGGAGTCATCATTCATGTGCAGGCAATTGATGCAGGAAGAAAGATCCGTTCTCTCGGTGCACTACTGCTGTACACAGCACATGCCTCCCACAATCAGGATAGACATACATGTAGATAGACGGAGAGATATCGTACAGCAGTAACAACAACAGCAGCCCCGGCTAGACTGCTTCTGGCTACGAAACAGAAAAAGTTGAGGATGGATGCATACCGCATTATCATGCGCTGTTCACCGTGTTGAAAAGCAATTCGGGAAGAAAGGACACATGATCGAGGTACTGTATGTGTACAGTAGTAGATGCAGATGGTCCGTTCTTCGGTGACTAGAAAATGTAGCTGGCTAATCTAATTGACAGATCTCGGCCCCTCCCTGTGAACCCCTCCGTGTATACAGCACACGTCTCGCGCATCATTGATAGATATAATAGGTAGATCGAAGCCATGCAGCAGTAACAAGAACGAACGGTAGACAGACCTGGTAATTGCTGGTGAGGCTAATTTTTAGCTTCAACTTCACAAAAAGAAGAAGAGTCGAGCATGGCTACGGATGCGGTGTTCTTGCCGTGAAAACGGAAGAAGAAGCTTTCATCAGGAAGAAAGACCCATCCATCCATTTGGCATTCGTTGAAAATATTCTTCATCCCGTTGCTGCCGTGGCACGGTCGGTCGGTCAGTCGAGTTGGGTTGGATATTTGGTTGGGCAAGGTTGGGTTGGGTTACGTGGGGTTGGGTAGGGTGGGTTTGGTCGGTCGGTTTGTCGGGGTGTGTTTAGGGGCGGGTTGGGGTGGGTTGGAGGTAGAGGGTGGGTTTGGTTCGTCGGTCGGACGGTCGGTCGGGTTGGCGTTGGGTCGTGGTTTGGGTTGGGTGAAGTATAGCGTAGGGTAGGGTCGGGTCGGTCAATCGGTCGGTCGGTCCGTCTGTTGGTCGGGTTGTGTTTTGGGAT